TAAAGCTGTTCTATAGTCTCACCCTGCTAACTGAAAGACAAAAACCCTTCTTTGTTGTGCAAATTAAAGTTAAATAAAGGTAAATTTCCCCCCTGAAGTTATAACTCCATGATTTCTGTATATTTATTGCCAACAGATTGTTTTTAGCTTTGAACATCAATTGTGCTGTTTGATAATTCACAATAGTGAATTAGTGTGTTCCTGATAGCCGACATTGTGAATGATCAGTATTGCTTTAGCGTTAGTGGCCGTAGTGATGTTTTGTAGTTGTGTCAATATTGTATATAAGTATGGTGAGACTAGGGAACAGTGTGGGGAGTGATTTTTGGTCCAAAACCTTTTTTGCTTTGTTTATTATTGCAATCCTTCTTGCGACTTTGGTTTGTACATTTTTTAATATGTGCTTTCCAATTGATTTTGTCATCAATGGTTACCCCAAGAAAATTTAATTTTCTATTTCAACTCCATGTATTTCCAGAAGCACCTCTTTTGACTCTTTAGGTCACAATTTGATTCGATGTTGATCTAAATGATTTTGATATTGATTCAGTATCAAGTAGGGCTGGGCGATTAATCTTAATTTGAGTTCGATTACGATTTTGGCTTCCCACGATCATGAACACAAGACAATCTTTCTTATTTCAATAAGAATCTAAATATTCATGAATATGATTTTTGCCATAATCAAACAGCTCTTGTATTAAAAAAGAAATACACAAATCATTTGTTTGAGTACCAGATAATTATGTATAAAGCGTATTTCATGCACAAAGCAAACTCAATGTGCTTTACAATGGTGTATACAGGTAATAGTGATAAAATGCAACAATGGTAGACACCCCCTGCCCTTATAGACCCTCGCGTTGGCTGAGGAACAACTCCCAAGAACACCCTAATAGGGAAAAAAAGGAAGAAACCTCAGGGTGAGAGACAGAGGAGGGGATCCTAACCCAGGACGGGCGGGCAGGCAGGCAGTAGCAAAAAAATGTACCGACCTAGTTTACAGCAGGGGTCACCAAGGTGGTGCCTGGGGGCACCTGGTAAACTCTGTGGACTACATAAGGTGCCCGCGGGGTAAGTTCTAAAAATAAAACTGATCAGCTGTTACAGTTCGTTTTGATTCAGTTATATCTGCACTGATGTACAAACTGCTGATTGTTAAAAGACTGTCTACTATGGTATGTACCAGAACTAATTATTATTACATTGTTGAGGAAGTCTGTATTAAACAAGTAGCTCTTCATATTACTAAGTGCCCTTGAAGTAGCTCTCAGTTTCAAAAAGGTAGGTGACCCCTGGTTTACAATTACAGTTACAGTTACAGACAGTCACAGTAGCAGCAATAGGTGAAGGCAGGACTATGGAGAGGGTCCTGGATTTAGTACAGCATCCATGGTGTCTAGGGGACCTAGACCGGCCAACATGTTAGTCCAGTGCATTCAGTGTAGGTAATCAACAAATAGAAACAGAAAATGTGTGGGATTATGGCTGAGGATAGGGGGTTTTGAAAAAAACGTTTTTGAACATAGTCACTGATGTTGCCAGTTTTACGGTGACAGGTCGTTCTAGAAGCGTGGGACATAGATGCAGAATGCTGCCTCCCCTTGTTAAGTGTTACAGTGAGGAATGATTCGACTAAAGTTGCTGGCTGATCTGAGTGATCTTGGTGGGGTGTAATTGATGAGCAGGTCAGTTATATACGGAGGAGCAAGGCCATGTAAAGCTTTATAAACCAAGAGCAGGACTTTAAAGTCAATTCTTGTATTGACAGGTAACCAGTGCACTGATTTAAAAACTGGTGTGATTTGTTGCAATTTCTTTGTGACAGTAAGAACATGTGCTGCTGCATTTTAAATTAATAATAATTTTACTACCATGCCCATGTAAACAACCGTCGTATAACATTGTGTAGTATTTTTGAGCAATAAAGAGATACTGTTTAAGACATAAATCAAGTTTAGAGATTCATATACTTGGGCCTCACACCCCACCCCCACTTCAGCAGTACACAAAGGAGCATTCAGTTTATGTCACATGCACATACTGAGGTTTTCACATTGATTCTTACTGGTACACTTTTTGCCTTTCTGTTGTTCTGTTTTAAGCCTTTCTGGGAAAAAAATAAAAAAAATGGGCTTTTACTAAAATGTATTAACATTAACATTTTAAAGCTCCAGTCTGTATTCAGGCATGTTTGAAGTCAGTTAAATATTTTTTACGCATTGTGTGATTATGTAAAATTTTAAAATGGAAATGTTTTTGCTTATGTTACCTCAGAATATAGAAATATATATATATATTTAAATACATGTATGTATAAATATTAGGGCTGTGCATCTTAATGCTTTGTTATCACGTTAACTCATAACTAATTAACACAGTTTTTTAATTATTATTATCCATCCATCCATCATCGTCCGCTTATCTGAGGCCGGGTCACGGGGACAACAGTCTGAGCAGGGACACCCAGACTTCCCTCTCCCAAGGCGTTCCCAGGCCAACCGAGCGACGTAGTCGCTCCAGCGTGTCCTAGGTCTTCCCCTAGGTCTCCTCCCAGAGGGACAGGACCCGAGCACCTCCCGAGGGAGGTGTTCAGGGGGCATACGATGTAAATGCCCAAGCCACCTCTGCTGACACCTCTCGATGTGGAGGAGCAGCGGCTCTACTTCGAGCTCCTCTCGTGTGACAGAGCTCCTCACCCTATCTCTGCCACCCTACGGAGAAAGCTCATTTCAGCCCCTTGTATCCAGGATCTTGTTCTTTCAGTCATGACCCAAAGCTCATGACCATAGGTGAGGGTAGGAAC